AAAATAAACTTTATTCATCTGATTATCTGTTCTCCTGGTGATGCTCTGTATGTGGGTAAAGAAACCAGGACCCATCATGACAGACTAACTTTCCATCTCCCTGAACTCCTACAGCAGAGCAAAGTTGGCCTGACCTCCAAAGCCACTGCAGCCACTTTAATGGAAATTGCAGCAGGTTGATTTAAGCCCAAATCCTCCAATACACACACGCACACACAAAACTTGCTTCCCTTTTGTTTTGCTTTGTCGCTTCAAGAGTACATTGATATGCAGGTGGCCAAATCTACATCCTGCTTAAAATACAAAATATGTGAATGAGGCTCTCATGTGCAGCTGAGTGGTATCATGTCTCTTGTATCCGACTTATCCAAATGTCCGACTACAAAGCCAGAAATTTGATGCATGGTTCGCCAAAATCAGACAAATTTGAAACAGTTTGGTGCTTACTGTTTGGTTTGAACCAGAGGATACATGCTCAATGTCTTTATAGGGTGAAAAACTGTTTTCAAAATCATTTCTGGAGGAAAAATCATCAGCTGTTATTTCCCTACTCGTGATTTGATTTGAAGCCGTGGAGCAGTGATAGCCTTGCTGTATGTAGAACACACAGATATAACTATCTAATGCTACAATTATCGTGTGTGATGGGATTACACTGCATGACGGGTAAAGACCAGATGGTGTTTGCTTTTACAAGCCACAGGAACGGTAATGTCCCACTTTGCTTCTATTTGATTTCCCTTTTGTTCTCACATTTCCTTCTTTATTTGAACTTGTTGTCTCTTGTGATTCATCTCCCTCTCTGTGGGCTCTTGTTGCTCTAATCTACCACCCCGAAGGGACCATCCTTTTGGAGATACATATTAAAGTATGAATATTAAGGTATGAATGCCATTATTTTGGTCTCTATTCACTGTAGGAATGAAACAACATAAACTGAAGTACTGGGATTTACAAGAAGATGAAGAGATTTTTTTTTCTTTTTTTATTTAGAATTAAAGTATTGTGTATCCTTCCTGTTTAAATCATTTATGTTCAGTTTTTTGAAATTCCACAAATTTATGCAACATCAACAGATTTGCATTGTTTTGTGTGTCAATGCATTATTGACACACTATTTTTTTTAAAAAAATAGTAAGTTCTTTTTGTTTTGTTAGCCCAAGCAAAATTGCTTTGCGGATCTATTAGTTTTTTTTAGCTAAATCAGACTGTATAGAAGACTGTATTATATATATATATATATATATATATATATATATATATATATATATATATATATATATTTTTTATATTATATTATATTTTATATATTTTATATATATATATATATTTTTTTTTTATTAAATTCATGCCAATACATAGATAAGAGTTTATTGCTTATTTTCTGCATAAATTGTGATAGACACTGGGTGTAAGTGGCTGCTAACTACCACTCGCAGGTGGCAGTGTTTCTTAGTTATATTTAACTTAAACACATTTTCCACAGTAGTTTCTGGTTTCAGAGTCCTTTCAAAGTTTGGGGACCAAAATTACAGCATTTGTCCCATTTTCAGCTGGTGAGGTTTGCTTTCACACTGCACTGTGCCAAGTATGTCTGTATGCTTTGTGTGTACTTGTGATATTTTAATAGTGAATATGTGCAATTTTAATAAATTGTGTGTGTTTTTAGTAGTGTGTGAGACAAAACAGTTTTTGTCCTAAACGGCCCCTCATAGGCGCAGTTTGACTTAAATACAGGTGAACTGCTGGACATCGCAGGCAGACTGAAGGAAGGGTTGCCTGTCTTTGTGCTGATGTGATGCCTTAGATAGAGCCAATAAATTAGCTTTGTTTGCTGTATAGCCAAGTCTGAGTGATAACTTCTCATGTCCACACCTTAGTGTACCAGTGGTGTCAGAAGTGGGATTCAAATCCACGCCTCCAGGGGAGACTGCGACCTCAATTCACCCGGTGGCCCGCCAGGCTTGTAATACACCGGGGGAAACCCTGAAGTCTACCGTCCACTGTTATTTTTCTTTACCTATTAATTTTATGAAAGGTTAGTGAGGAAGAAATTGTACACAGTCTGAATATATCCTTGATGATTGGCGACTTGCCTTACAGTGTAATTGAGAAACAAGTGTAATACTGGCATTTTGACAAATGATACCTATGTTTTATTAATGAATGTCTCCAGTCCTAAATTGATGATCTAGAGATTTGTCAGTTGCAAGCTTGAAGTCGATGATTTGTTGGCTGCATTTTGACAATGTTCTCATTAGATTTTTTATGACTGTTACAAAAGGAATCTGTTTTAATATATGAAGAATATAAACATCCATCCTACAGAGATGTTTATCCTGAGCTTATCCTGTGCAGGGTCATGGTGGGTTAAAACCAATCCCATCGTACACTGGGACAAATGTTAAACTGAGTAATCACTTCACGGATTTATTTGTTTATTGCTAGGGGATTTTTTTTCCTGCGATGTAATGTTTAAAGAGTTAAGATCCTCATGCCCAAAGTACCGGCTCAGTGATACAGATGTTGTGCAATTATATTTAATAGTGTTCAAATTAATTATTGACAGTAATATTTAATCCAAGTAAATGTTGAGATTTCATATTAAATCAGGTTTTATTGTTAACATATTTTCAAAGCAAAAATGAACCCTTCCTATAGTACTTATAGGAGATGCATGGTTTTTGATTCTTCCAATCATTTCAATGGTGTTGTGATTTGTGCATTAAATTGTTTGCAAAGAAGGCACACACTAGCCCCTTTCATATCAATCCAAGTTCTGTGATCTAGATGTATTTTTTATGTCTTGTGATCAGTTGAAAGGTTGTCAGTGTTTCAGCAGTTTGTTTTAGTTTACTTGAAGTTTGTTCCATATAAGTGGAGCATGAAAAATTGAACGCAGCTTTACTATGTTTGGTTCTTATTCTGGGATGGCAAAGCAGACAAAATCCAGGAAACCTGACCAGTCTGGAAGGTTGACACAACACTCAGTCTTGAAAGCAACTTGGTGCTAAGCAATTTGGCGTTTTATAAAGCAGCAAAAGCACATTAAAGTCTATTCTTCGAGATACCGGGAGCCAGTTAATGGACTTTAGAATTGGGTTGGTGTGGTCTACTCTGCTCTGCTAGACTTAGTGAGGACTTTAACGCTGAGCTAAGTTATGTTATAGTTACAACTGACACCTCTTTGATACTGGTAGCCTGGCTCTGTACTTTGAAATCAGCAATTCAGAGCCTTTTGAATCTTTTCAAATGTCTTCTTCATAAAACCACCTGTGTAGAAATCTGTGTGTAGATAAGTAACATACAAACACTGCTCCAAAGGAGGGTTGTTTATTGACATCAGTGGGCAGCATTGAGAAACACTGTTTTGTTGACATGCTGAAAAGGGAGTGTCAAAAAGAGTGGGAGGTTCTTAAAGAGACAGAATCAGATTTTAAAGTGTCGTATGTGTCTATGATGCAAAGTCAGATTTCTTTGAAGTTGTTGTTTTGATATATATATAGCATTTTGATGACAACTAAACGTAGTCACTTGACTATGATACAAAATGGCGTTATGAGTCTGGTAAATACAGACTTTAAATTACATGTATATTTTGCTCACATCTTCACTTTAATCCGGTATAATGCTGGAAAATGAAAAAAGTACAGATAATCATAACTGTTAAAATTGGTAAAAGCATACTTTTGTGAACTTGGCATTTCCGTTTGATGAAAATAGGTATTTTTTCAGGTGTTTAGAAATATTGCACTCCCTTCTTCATGCTGACTATTTGGACTTATCAGTTTGTCAACAAAAGAGAACAAGTGTACAGTGGAGTGATGCATTCAGCTAATGAGAAAACATCATTCACCATACAGGATTAAATAATTACAATACAATATAATATGTTTACAATTATATCTCAAACAGTCTTTCTTAGCATCATTAATAATTGGATCAAATCAGCACAGTAACATAAAAGCTGCTTCAACGAGTGAGCGCTTGTTGATTTTGATTTGTTTGTCAGAAGACAAAAATGTGAAAACGCACAGCATCATTTGATGTCTCCCAGAGGAGTAATTAAAAGATTTTTCTCAGGGCACATAGCTGTCTGTGAGACTTTATGGCCTTAAGTTTGATTTTCAGTGCTGGTTTGTCCTTGCTGAGAAATATGTCAAAGACATATAAATTAATCTGATAACACTATTCTGTTCATTAATCATTGAAAATGCTACACATAATTTAGCATATATATTTAATTATGTTATAGCTAAGTTGTGTTATAACTTAGCTATAAGTTATAATATAACATATAGGTGAAGTTATAATAAATATATTTACATACGTATATATGTACGCATGTATTAAGTGTGTGTTTAATGTCTTTCATAAAATGCTATGTGATATATTACATAGCAAATTATAGGGTAATATGGTACTATCATACTGTCGCACCTCTTTACAGTCATTATACAACTCCAGCTACTGTTTTGTCATTTATTTCAAATACATTTTGAGCAAGACTAGGCTTTGTCACATAAATATCAGTCACGGTATTGGAATTCACCCGGATATTTAGCTTAAGACTCTACCTCTCCTTTTCCCCCTCTCTCTCTTTTAAAGCTCTTCAGTGGGTGGAGCTGAGCGTCTGACTGATGGCTTCCCGCTTAGCGTCTCTGCTCGCCTCCGTCTGGGACTTCTTGCCTGGATCTGGCTCGTGTGCAGAAGCAGAGCTCTCCGTCCCTCTTTCCTATCCCTTCTCTCATAATCTTCATCGGTACACACCTCTACTCTGCTTTTTCTACATTTCTGTATGCACGCTGTGTTTTTATTCTCTCCCCTCCCCGCTAACGGAGGTGGGCACTCTTCCCAGAGCTGGTGCATCTAAGCAGGTGCAGCCTCTTTCTCCCCTCCCTCCCTCCTTCTCTCCATCTCTCCCTTCCCTTGCTCTACCAGTGTGCACTCTGCTCTGTTGGATTTTTTTTCTCCTCCCCACCTTTCTCATTCGCTCCCTGTCTCTCAGTGGCAGCAGCTCAGGAGGCAGCTGTATGCACGTCTGCATCACCACTGCTACAGGTAAAGACGGCTGCATCATTTGATGCAGCAAACTCCAAAAGGAGGAGAGGGTTGGTTGATTGGGGAAGCGTGTGCCTCTGTGGTTGCAAGTCTTCACTCCGGAGTGGGGTGCACATTTTTAATCATCTCTGAAAAAAATGTAAAAAAAAGCTTCCAGGACTGAAGAACGGGCAGAGGAGCTCAGCTACCAGACCAACCGGCGGACTGAAAAGCGTGCAGGCTATCAGGAACTAAAAGGGACAATACCAACCAGCACTATCCTTGGATTTTTTTTCAACACTATCCTATCCTGATGGTCTTACTTTTTTTCTGATCTTTCCTTAAATTTTTTTTCTATCAACTCCCTGGCTCCTCATCAACACCTCCTCTCACATTTTATCCCCTCTGTGGCGGAATGTTCCTTGCAAAGACATGACAAGAGTCTTCCTGATGGCTTTGCTGCGGCATTAACAAATGGTACCCTGAGACGGCAAGAGAGCTGAGCGGACAGCTTGGGGGAAATCTGATCCACAGCCAGCCAGAGAACGAGCAGGATCACTCCATGCAGATTTATCCGCCCTGCTATCCTGCGTGACAACACCCCCCTTTTTTTTTTCCTACCTCACCCTCTTGTCCTTCCTTGAAGTATCTTTTTTAGCACTTTTGGGCAAATAACTTGATTTTTGGATTTCATGGCAAAGTGGGTTTAGATCATACAAATACATAAAGAGATACAAGGAAGACACTTGCAGAAAGTCTACCGGTGGCTAGAGGCATTAAGTAATCGTCAGAGAGTGTTTTGCCGACTCGTAATTTATATTTTTTGGTCTCCGTTCCAGGAAGAGATTTCGAAGGGAAGGGTGACTTGACTAAAGGTGTTGTGTCAGATCCCGCATTAGGAAGCATCCTTTCAGAGCTCTGAAGATTGGGAAAGAGACTGGACCCACCCTTCAAGTTTCCCTGTCCCATTGTGGATTTGTACTCGGATTGCTACATGTTCACATCACGTCCAAGCTGTGGATTTCTGCTGCACTGGCATCCAAACATTGATGGCACTGATTTCTAACAGATGTGAAGACGTTTCATCCCACACACTTTCCTGCTAAAGGCATCTCTTTTTTTTTTTTTTCCCTCTTCTCTTGCTTGATTTCACAGTGAACATTTTTGAAGCTTCCTTTTGGCGATTGACAGTTGGCCAGGAATAAGCATCAACTAATTTGGTAGTTTCTACAAAACCTCTCCTGTATCTGACTGGGTGTCTCTGAGTGTGAGTGTGGGTACTTGTGCTTTCCTGACTGCATGACTGCATGTATCTTCTTTACCCCTGCCTTTCTTCGTATCTTTCGGATACATATTCATATAGTTACTATTGTTGCTACTTTGTCCGCCTCTACATTCCTATCATCTTTTCAAAGTCTGGCATTGTCAAGAACCTTTTTGCAATGTGCTATCAATGCCTATTGCAAGGTTAACCCTCGATGAGCCATAAAGGACTGCAAGGCAGGATGAGTGAGAGCTCCGGAGCTGCTGTATCTGGGGCAGTGATCCTGGAAGAACCTGAAGGTTCGGGAGCTACCGGGGGCCGTGGAGAAGCCCAGGCTCAGGATCAGGGTCCTTTTCGGTGTGCTGTGTGGCCTCGCCAACAGACATGGCTGTGCGTGGTCCCTTTACTTATTGGTTTCATTGGCCTTGGATTGAGCTTAATGCTCCTGAAATGGATTGTTGTGGGTACAGTGCGGGATTATGTGCCAACCGACCTGGTGGATGCTAATCGAATAGGCCAAGATCCCATCTTTCTCTCCAAGCCAAGCGGGATTCCTAAAGGTCCTGATACTACCACCACTACAACTACTCCCACAGTGGATGGTGGAAACCCCACACCTAGAACCGTAACTGTGGCGAAAGGCAGAACTCGCACTGTTGCTTCGACCACAACTATAAACCCCAGAGGAGGCGGAGCCTCTGGAAGTCAGGTGACACCTCGAAACCCTGGAAATCGTAATGGACGTATACCTTCAGTCTTTACTACGACCACTGCAGCACCACGGACAACCTTTGTAATTGGAGCAGCAACTACTAGCTCATCTCCTGTGAATCCGACAGTTCTTCGTGACTCTACGCAAATGTGGACTACGGAACATACTACTACAGAGGAGGCCTCTACCACATTGACCACGCATACACATAGCCAACGCAAAACACGTAAGTTTTTTTTCTGTACTTTGTGGCTTTTAAAGTGTCTTACTCAAATTGCGGTTGTTTGATTGAGGACTTTTTTTTTTTTCCATTATGAAGAAACCTGTTGGGTAGGTTTGTGAAGTCAAACATTGTTGCAGAAAATAGGCGGTTCACTCAATCTTCTTGGATTTTAGATAGTGTGTATTTTTTGTTTTTCTTGGAAACTGTGGTTTCTAAACATGTATAGGCCACATTAGTGATGGATATTTCAGCTGGAGTTGTAGAGATTATGTGTCAAGAATCAATATATGTGGTCTTGAATGACTATTTTGTATGTTTTTCAGCTGCATCACAAAATAAAATGACTATTACACGATAATATGGAACATTTGTGGTATACACATGATTACACTAAATTATGTGAAGCTTCCTGAATATGAGTCTACATCTCATCCATATCATTTGCACTATGCTGAGTGATTAAAAATGTACTCTGAGTTCACAAGGACTAGGATGCATTGATACTCCATGTACACTGAGTGGTGTTTTTTACCTGTAACTTTACATAGCTATGGTACTTAAACTCTGCATTTTTTTTCTACTGTCATCCTAAATTCAAGTTGCCGTCATTCATATCAGAGTCACTTGAGGACAAGATCAATTTGTTGATTGATGCTGATTCCTCTCTTTCTGTTTTACCACCTCTGTCCTTGACTAAAGTTATGTGAGCACCCATGCTATTGATTGGTGCTACGTTGAAAATCTTTCTCTGCAATCAATGACTCTCACAGACATATATGTGCACACACAGCTTCCTCTATGATGGATGCTTCTGCTCTCAAAATGGTAGGTGTTAGTGTAGTTCTTTTTGTGTATGGGCCTTTGGTCCACAGAGCAACAGAGTTTTTGAAATCAAAGGTGGGGATTTGTGTGTGCAGCCTTATGCAGCACATCCTCAAGCTGTCTTCGAGGAGACATACCTGGGGAAGCAGATAAATCAGCATTCATTTAATGGCCATCTTTTCTGGCAGATTTACATTACATTTACTGTCGCACTTAGTTTTATTTTATTGCTCGGTTGGGGACAAGGTTTTATTCTCTTTGTTTTCAACAAATTTACTTTGTAATATTTATAACTCCTGCCGTACTTTTCTGATGGTTAAAGATATACAATCAAAAAAAAAAAATAATTAACTTCTTTATTCCTTCTGTCTTTTTGGAAATTTTTTCTTTTTATTCTTCAGATTTTTTTTATTTTTTATTATTGATTAAGGCAACAATTAATTGATTGGTCTAGCTGAAAAAGACAGCTGAAAAAATAGCACAAACTTTTTTTAATTAAAATGAATATATACAAAATGGAATTGAATAATTATTTCCTTTATTTATATATATATATATATAAGTATATAATATCATATAATATCATAGCATTGTAGCATTCTGTTAATGGCCGCTTGATTATTTGTATTAAGTGAGTCTGGAACTAAAAAAAAATACTTGTAAAAATACTTTGGCTTTCTGCTTGACTTCTTGATACATTGTTGGGCTGATTTGTTGAGTTTTGTTTTATTTACTGGTTATAATAATTGATCAATATCCCCGAAGCCTAATCTCTTCTTTTAGCAATAAGTGCTTAATTTGAGTTTTTTTTTGTTTGTTTTGTTTTGTTTTTGTTTTTTTTATTTTTCAAAATTTCAACCAGATGAATCCAACTTGAGAATTTTTTGGTAAATTCAGGAATCTCTTAATTCTGGAGGTCAAGTCATCATTTTAGCCTTTTTGTTGCTAATGAAATGAAATCAAACAAATATTCATCCCAGTTAGTTCATGATCTTACCTAATCTAGGTCTTGGTTGGTTTGTACTAATTTACGAGCATGACAATGAAGCAAAGATGAAATAAATTGGGGGGGGGGCAACTACTTTTTCATGACTCTGTGAGAACTGCCTGAAATGATTTATGAAATTATCAAATTAGCATCATGTTGGGTAAAATGACTGTTAGCATTGATATGAATGCTCTGGTTAGCTCTGCTCATGCAGCTACTTCTTAGGTGTGTATGATTATGAACCAAAGCTGAGATTACAACACAGAGCAGGGAATTTTCCCTCTGACAATACAAACAACCAATCATTTCATTAACAGGAAAAAAAAAAAAGGAAGACATTCATCATCATCTATTCACTTATTAATTAGCCATAAAAAATGCCATTTCTTCAGCTAGTGCTCAGAAAAGCCATTAAACCTTGTTGATAGATATCTTACAGAAAATGTCACTCCCTCTCCAGCTCTCCTGGAACATTCCAGCAGCTGCACAGTCCCCCCATTCCTCCCCATCCTGCTCGCTCGATAAGCCTAAACACCCCTCACACTCCCACCCCTTCGATTCCACCACCCACATGCAGCTTTGATTTGAAAAGGCCATCATTTTCACATTAACTCTCCATTATGTGTAAATGTCTTATGATATTACCAAGTTGGACCGCCTTCAGAAACGGTGTGGGGATCTTTTAGTCTTCCATCTGTGTGCTGCTTATCGGTGCCGGTCATTCTGGATCACAGAATTAAGAGTGACATTGTGGTTCTTCTGCCTTGGAGGCTTTGAGCTACGGGAGCCAAATCTGGACACAAAAGTCAAGTCAAGTTTATCTGCATAGGACATTTTAGCAATAAGGCAGTTCAAAGTGCTTCATGCCTTAAAGACAAAGTGCAGTAACTGATCATTTTGTCAAATGTCATCACAGAGAACACAAGCATTAAACATTAATCCTAAAATCCTGGAAGTGTTCTTCAGCTGATAGAAGGCTGATTTTGCAATGGTCTTTCTGTGGCTCTAAAGGTCAGAGGTCATCATTCCCAGAGTTCAGCCTGATCTGATAAGAACTGAAGCTGTGTGTTGATTCTAGATTGTTCTTCTTTAGGTCCAAAGACAATAACTTTAGTTCTGTTTCTGTTCAGAAATAAAGTTCTGGATGGAATGGGGTCAGAGGTACCATGTAATGCTAAATATATTAAGGTGGAACTCACTGTAAAGCTTTATATTTACTCTAATATTTTATATTACTCTTCAATCGCTACTTTTCCCAGAAAATCCTTTCCATATGATTCAGTTCAATATACAGCTGAGTTCTAAGCCTGATGCTACCAAGCCTCTTAACAAAGTGCACCCCAGCTGTTCCCCAACCGTTTCTTCATTTGTCTACAAAGTCCATCGATGGACTACAACGATTCATTGCAGCTCAGATCTCACATAAAGTCACATTAAAAATGAATGGCACCCTGGGTGCATCACTGCTTTGGTGGGATTTGGTGACATTCTTGCTTGTCTAACTGTCAACAAGTCAAGATCTGAACGCTACAGTATGGAAAGATATGATAGTTAAGTTGTCAGACTTCATGGAAATGTCACTTTGCGAGAATTACTGACGGAAGAGCAAATCCTTTGGACCCTTCAATGTCTGAAGTGCTCCCAGAGTGATAAAATGCAGAATAAGGCAGAGATCTGAGCGAGATTAAATTACAATTATAATACAGGACAAAATGTCAGATGAGGTCACAGAGATAATGCCAACAGATCAGCTTCAGGAATACAAGCTGGAGAAAAATTCCCAATGAAAACATAAATATTAGTTGAATTTATTCCCGCAATCTGATGTCATAGTCTTTTAGTATGTTAGCAGTTCTAATTGTTTTGTCTAGGACTGAAATGATTCATTCATTGATTAATTGTCAACTAATTTAGCCAGTGACTAATCGTACAACTAACAGAAAATTGAAAGAACAATCCACTCAGGGGAGTAATTAAGCCAGAACTGTAATAAAATATATAAATGTTGAATTTAAGATAAAAAACTACATCTTTATCTGTAAATGTATTCTACCCACAACTCCTCAACTTGTTCAAACTCAAATAATCTAGTAACATATTGAAGTTATAATTGAACTTTAATTATAGTAAGAAATAATTTTGAGCATCTCCCAAGTGGGAGAATTGCGTGTTTCGGTGTGAGGCCTTCACAGCGAGCTGGTCGGTGGGATTAGGTTTGAGGAAGATTGTCCCCAGTCTTAAATCCAGATTAATAATATCCCGTCTCTGGAGAGAAGAGCAGGATGGGAATTAGGAAGAGAATTGCATCAGATCTCCTATCAGTCACACTCTACATGGCTTTCCAAGCAGCAGCCTGACTCCTGGAGGATTGTTTTGATGTATGGCCCGACGCCGGATGTTTTTCATTAAATGAAGCCGGGGTGACACGTTTAAGGCAGCGCTTTCTCTTTGCTGTGTTTCTGGATCCCTCAAGGGTGCTTTAAACGAGGTGCTGGGGGAAGCGAGATTATAGTAACAACACAGACATGACAATGACAGACTGAAATGATGTTTCACTCTTTACTAGACGATGGTATGTTGAGTGGGAATGTCAACATTCCCACATTCCCAATGTCAACATGTATTTTTTGACATTCCTATGACAGAGAAAGTTCTGGGCTCATCAAACTTTAAACCTAACAACTGAATACTTGGATACTAAACATGCAGCAAGAATGACCAATTAGCAGGTTTACCTTTCTATTTGTGTGTTTATATAAGCTTTTTAATGGTGGTTATGTAAGCAATCTCATTTAGCGGAAAACAAAGTGTTACTCTGGTTTTGAGAAACCTCCTTGAATCGGTACCAATCAAAATAAGGATACGGTGGACTCCAAACAATTCAGTGTTCAATATCGGCTGACTCATCTTTTTGCCAATTTTTTCTGTTGGACTTAACTCCAAATTATTTATGAAAAATCCTCCTATTCACAGAATTTTACATTTGGAATATCAAAAGTCTTTGAAAAAGCAGCTTTGGAAGCTAATCTAGAGTTTGCAGGATCACCTTTTTTTTTGTACCGACTGGCTGAACTCCCAAGAGTTACAGTAGCTTCGTTGGTATCACCAAGATGGTTTCCACTGTCTGTATCAATGCATATTTTAAGTTTTGAATCCTTCAGTGTCTAGTGATTTGTCATCTGGAGATCTGGAG